GACTATGTGTATGTAATTTATAGCACCTTTACTGTTGATCATTTTTTGAAATGTTATATATGTTAATTAGTTATTATCATATTTATGCTTATAAATGATTGTTGATCTGCCACACTTAATTGTCCTATACATGCATTTGTGTATATAAATGAACTATCTATTATAATCAGCAAATCTTGTTGGAGTTCAGTCATACTTGGAGCAACAATTGCTTCGCCTGGAACAAACAATATTTAAGTTCTTTTTTGATTTTACCAAACTTCCCCAAAAATTTGTTGATAAAAGAAACTTCTAAATTCTACTTTCGACTTGGTCCATGACTATAGATGTGTGGAAGCAACTATTTTTGGTCTCGGTCCCAGCTTAGAAAAACCTATTCTGGAATTTATTTGTGTCACGTCTGAAATAATTTTTCAATACTTTTTTTTTGATATATTTAATTGGTGAGTAGTACTTTTATGAATGTACGTGTGGGTACAACTTTGACTCATCTCTTCAGCCACATCCACACTTCATCCACATCACATTCAAGATAGACTTTTTTTTAGCTACTGAGTATAGTTTGGAACAAAAAGAGGTTTTATACCTGAAGAGATGTCCTCGTCTATGAACTGAACTTGGATTATCTAAACATCGACAAAAACCTTGGAAAATATTTTTATAAACAAATAAAACTTTAATACGATAAATGTCACTTTTTTTTAAAAAAAAATTTATTTATCTACTATATCTCTATTATGCAGTGTCTTGTGTATGTATCAGATGTGTAAATAACCCAACTTTTTTGCAGGCCCAGCCTGCCTGCAAAGGTCTCTCAACTTTTTTACACGAATATTATACTAATAATAAAATATAATTAAGTGTTAATCTTTTTAGAAAGCCCAATAAGCCCATAGAATCAATTTCAATAGCATTAATAAAAATTCTTTAATGTGAACATCTAAGAAAATATTCAAGTGTTCACTATACAGTGGTATTTCCTTCTTATCTGTGCACCAGAGTATCTAAGAATAGGAGTAGAACAAAAAAAACATAACTTCAGGAAGTTTTTTTGAGTTGGTAGAAGTCAGAAAAAAGCATTCACATTTAACTGTAATGAGGCTTTTACTAAGAAGTGCTTGATCTCGAGCAAAAACTGCTCAGCACAAATTCAGATTGTTCACTATAATGAGATGTTTACATTATGGAGACGTTGATAGTGTAACTTTTTACTCTGGTTTTTGTTCAAGATCATTTTGAATGAATCTGATAGATAATAATATCACTCATAATATTACAATCAAGATAGAAATGACATGTAGTAACTACTAAACCTTCAACAAAATTAATTGGAATTCAGAAACAACTCAAAGAAAATAACGACAAACATGCAAAGGAGGAGTCAATAAATGATGAAATCAGTCTCGTCAAAAGATTTGTTTTTTTTTAAATGCATAAATGTCACACAAAGGTTTCGAAAGTGATCGCTGATAGAATAAGCTCTATTGCATTTGTTTATGCTCTATTTAGATCGTTTGAAATAGTCAATAACTATCCTGTCCATATCATATACAACCGTTGATGATAATCAGATCTGTTTAACTATCGTTATGGTATCAATTGGAATAGTTTTCATATAGTTTGATAGAGACTTTTAAACGCTCCCAAATGCTACAAAAACATTCACTACTGAAAAACACCTAACGGATATTGTTTCTCAGACATGATTTTTAGTGTTTTTGATTGGCATTTGATTGATTTCGATCAGAAAAAGTACGATTTGGATCAGAACTAAAATCGTCTTATGCACCAGTATTTAACAGTGCATAGGCTTATATGAATTTTAAATATTTTTGTCGAAAAAATCACATCTAGTCTTCCTCGAGTTGAGCCAAAATGAATTACATTGAAAAGTAGAATGTGGGTATGGGTAAAGACCAAACCCACATCTAGACAGTTTTCTTTTGTATTTTATGACGAAATAAATTTAGTTTTTGTGAATAATGTTCGATAGCAAACGCAGAAATAGTATCACTTGTGTTCATGAATAAAAAGAAGTGTTTAACTTTAAAAGTTGCCACCTGCAGGATTATGATTAGGAAATATTGAATCAGCATAAAATTCTATCAAAAATGTAAATTAAGTGGAAAAGTTGTCTTTTGCTTGTTCTTGTGCCACATAAGCTCGGACAAGTATCGATCCACCGAGTTCAAGGTGAGATGGTTGTGCAGAAGGATTCATTTGAGTTGAAACGTCCTCGCTTGGCATTACATTAATTGGGGGCCACGACATGAGCGTAGTCTGTGTCGTTGTCAAAGGCGGAATATCGAAGGGAGACGATGAAGAAGATAGAAAAGAATATTCATGAAATGAATCTATCGCCGGTGTTTGCGAACTGTCATTAACGTATTGTCGCCGATAGTCTCCTAGATTCTCATTAAACATTTTATTGTTGCTGTTAGATGAGTGAATATTACATTGTCTTCCGCATATTTCGCAGCAAGCACGCTCGTCTCTCCAAAATCTCTGGCGTAATGCTTCCCTGAGAAAACAAAATGAGTTGAATGCATAAACACCGATATAACATGTTTCTACTTACCAGAAAACTCCTGGACAGCATCGACAAGAAAGACAAATAGTCAATATGCTCAGGACGAGAAGTAGTGGAAGACCAAGGCCTAGACCTAATCCAAGTATAAGAGGGAGATCATCAGATGATTGGGCAGTGAGTATTTGTGAGAGTGACGAGGTAGTTGTTGACGTAGAAGTTGTTCTAGTTGTGATAGTCGAAAAGGTAGTTGTTGTAGAACTTGTCGTCGCCGACGTACTTGTGGACGTCGAAGTTGTTGTCTGCGAAGTGGTAGTTGATGTGGAAGTTGTCGTCGTCGACGTAGTTGCAGATGTCGAAGTTGTTGTGGTAGAGGTAGTAGTGGATACAGAAGTTGTTGTAGCCGAGGTACTTGTGGACGTGGAAGTTGTTGTTGTTAAACAATTATCAGATAAAGTTTTTACAGTAAATGCCATGCAATATTGATCAGATTGTAAATTTTCACTAATTAACAAAAAAGATATTACAATCCTGAAAATCTAAATAAGGAAAATTTTACGTTGTATATGCAATTGTACATAACTGCTGTAATCCAGTTTGATTTGTCTGTGGTGTCCAAGTAAATTCGACATAGGAGATCGATGAATTTGTTAATGAATTTGTGAGATTACTACGAGTCATACCAGTAGTTCCATTTGAAACAACAATATCAGCAAGTGTATCCACCCTTGGATCACATAAGTTCATTGCAGATAGATTAAAACTGATTGTAACGCCAACTTGTACTTCTAGACAACGGACTAGAGGAATAATTATAGGCTTCTTTACACAAGGTGGTGAAACATAAATCAAAAATTGAATTGGTACTGAACTCATTGGTGTCATGCTTGTCCCATTAATAAAATCTTCAACCTGTAGAAAAAGAAATGAACATTCTATACTAAACATAAATATTAGATAACGTCATAAATAATCATATATATATATATATTAATAATTATAATATCGTTTTTTTCTGGAGATGAATGTTTGATATAGAAGTTACGAATCGCTTATTTCGACAAGAAATGATATATCTAATATGGTTGATATTACATAGTTGTCAAATTAGTAAGTTAGTTCAACAAGAGTGGAATATTGTTGTCATCTGATCGAATATCGAATTATACTAATATTATTCATGGTTGCTCAATAGAAATAAATAATGTCATAAATGTAGTTAAAGGATAAGTAATGTATGAATAACAATCTGCTTACCTGAATAGCAACTCCATACCAGATGCCAACTGTAAGACCTGTGAATGTAATAGTACAGTTAGACAGGGTTGTATTATTAGGCACACTGCTTGGATGACAAATATCACCACATTCGTCAAGTGCTTGACGATTTGCATACGACAAGGTTGATTTTAATGTTCCTTGGAATTCGGTAGTAGTTGTCTCGGTTGTAGTTGTTGTATCAGTCGTGCTTGTTGTATCAGTTGTGCTTGTCGTATCAGTTGTAGTCGTAGTTACTTCCATTGCACAACCTCCAATGTCATTACATGTCGAACCAGTACATGTTGTGGAAACGCAACCAGCACAGCTACATTCACAACCAAATGTACATGAAACGTTACAGATGCCCGTACAGTCTCTTTTCTTTCTAATATGAATCAGTTCTCCATTACTAGCTACTTCTTTATAAAAGTGAACATCAGATCTATGCTTGATATGTTCTTCTTTGTCGGATCGTTTTCGTCTTCTATATCCAGCGGTATATTTTGACCATCGACAACGCACATCATCAGTAGTATCGGCATCCGAAACATGAATATTAATTTGTGTTGTTTTATTTACAACGGCATATTGTGGAGAAACAACTGTGGCAACAGGTGAAGTGTTAATGAAACCATCTGATCGTTTGCGGAGATCAATATATGTTACAATAGACCAGGCAAGACCTTGTTGAAAAGGATCATTTAATCCTATCCAAGCATTTCCTGTATAAGCTATATAAAAATGTGCATCAGTCGATAAAGTAATATTTTTTGATCGTTCGCTTGTCAACATGCTCAATAATGAACTAGCCGATGTACAATCAGTGAGAATATCAACTGGTGCATTAGAATAACCACCATCAGTTGAACAATCAACTACACAAGTCAGATTAGTATTTGCACCACTCCGCCCAACAGTCGAAATCGGTACATCGGCGGCACATTGTATAGTCGGATATGTCCATGAATAAGACTGTATAATAGCAATCTGAATTGAAGAGGAATTATCATAACGATCAATGGGAGCCCATCGGATAGTTCCTCCATTGAAGTGTCTTCCATCAGTAAAAACGAAAGAACAAAATAACATAAACAGAACCAAGTACATTGTTCGTCACTATCTACATCAATCAGTCAGAATCTACAAAAGTCAATATCTTTAAGAAAATCATACGATTTAAAAAAAAACTGTCAGTGATTAATCTGAAAATCTCATGAATTTATTCTTTGATAAGTAGAGTATATATTGATAAACAACTTCTCGCAATAAGTTATTTTCTCAATGAACGAAAAAAACAAAACAAGATAAATTGTTTGATTAAGTTTGAAATGATACAATTGTTTTTAAATTGAGAAAGACAATATTGTCCATCTCGGGAACAGTTCTGAATACCAATTTACATTACTTGTTTGTATATACGATTGTTATCTATAAAAGTATTCACGGAATTAAAATATCAAAAAGAAATTTATGAGTTTTGGGAATTTTGTATCAAAATCACGAAAAAAAACTTGGCATTTCAAAGAATAAAACGAACATAAAAATAGATGCGTTTCAAACTCATTGAATAAAAAGAACATTTTAATGAAATAAATACAATGAATTTGATTTCTAATCTAAATCATGCAATTAAAGTGATGACGATATTTTTTTTTAATCAATATATGTGGAAAACATCAATTTTCATGACTACTTCATCATTTTGATGCAATTTTTTGGATTTTTCAAGTCTGTGGATCGCGTCTTTCTTAAGCTTTATTCCCTTGATATTGTAATATATGAGCTAGAACTAGATTTACTAGTTTCAAACAATAATGTGCTTTTTAAGTTCCTTTACCAACTAAACATTTCAATATAAAAATTTAATAGACATATCAGTACGAAACTAGATAATTTCCCTAACTGATTGATTCTCATAATCACGTGCATGTTAAAAACATAAATTTCAATATCTGTAAACACAGTTATTATCACAATAGTATCAATTGTTTCTAAATACTATTGTTGCTTATTGGGATGGTTGTAATATGACGTACGTACGAACAATGGTTTCACTTGGCTCTTTTTATCTTCTAAATGAGCTAGCGACGGGCTGAATGTCGAGTATTTTTTCTGGTCATGTCGAATCGACTTGTCTCGTTCTTGTCTCAAGTAATCTTTGTCCAGAACTACTGTCCGTTTCAAAATATAGTGCGCGCCATTGTTTTTTAAGTAACTCAAGAACGGAATGAGGTAGAGACCTGCGGTTTTCACTAATCGATAAATGAGACAAGGAGACGTCTTTTTCTCAGATAATGCGCCAGGCGAAATCCTTTTAAAACTACTCATCTTTGAAAGACATGGAAAAGAATGCGTGAAAATGACCTGTCATCCAGATGAAATTTTGATTTTGACCTTTGATTTAGATAGAGGAACTTGATATCTACAGTTCAAGATGTAATGCAAATACTTTTCTTATCGCATTCTAACGTTGACCAAATGGAACCATGTATTTAAATGCGCAAATAATAGGGAATTTTACTGATTTTTTCCTATGTTTTTGCGTTTTTATCATAATAGCTAGACATTTCGATGAAAACGTAAGGAAAAGTAAGAAAGTGCATTGTATCTTAAACTATAGATATCAAGTTCCTCTATCTAAATCAAAGGTCAAAATCAAAATTTCATCTGAATGGCAGGTCATTTTCATGCATTCTTTTCCATGTTTTTCAAAGATGAGTAGTTTTAAAAGGATTTCGCCTGACACATTGTCTGAGACAAAGACGTCCCTCTGTCTCATCTATCGATTAGTGAAAACCGCAGGTCACTAGCTCATTGCGCTCTTGAATTATTTAAAAAACAGTAACGTGCACTATATTTTGAAACGGACAGTAGTCTGAAGTCTACTGCGACCTTGAATCCTGTCCTGATTCGGTCATTGATGGGCATCATTATACATGTAAAGTTTAGTCTTTTTCTAGAAAAAGATCCAGCCAAGACTACTTCACGACTGGTTAGATATCAAATTAGTATCTAACATATAGGCTAGAATTCTGAACGAGAACTTTCTGAGACAAAGACTAGATAGATTGGGTCGACATGATACTCGTCAGAAAATGATTTAAAACTGGAAGAGGAAGATCGTCATAGATAGTTCACATGACGCACTGTAGTGAGATGTACTGAGCTCGTCTGGATTAGTCTAAATCGAAATATATATATATATATATGGCAAAAGGTTAAACCTGAACATGTATACAATATGTTACTTGCCCATCGTTTAGAGAATTGGATCATATCCTTAGTCAACTCTCGCCAGAAAAATCTCCAGAGAACCTCTTGAAAAACTCCACGGAGAATTCTGAAAGGGAATTCACAGAAACTCACTGGGGATTTGCTAGGAATTTCTCAGGAGTCTACAATAAGAATTACAACGACTGTACTCTTCCTTTCATAAATATAAAGTCTTGTTTGACTTTATTAAAATAATACTTACCTTTACAGTTGTCTTTGAGATTAACCTAAATAAAAAATATATATAATGACATTTTAAAAGTGCTTACCGTTGCAATTATTGCTGCTTTTAATCTAAACAAAAACAATATATTTTATGTTTTGAAATAGCACTTACCGTTGCAGTTATTGTTGCTTTTAATCTAAAAAAAATATAGAATATGATTTTTGCAAAAATACGCACCGTTATAGTTGTTTTTAAGATTAATCTGAATAAAAAAATATATGTCCTTTTTTTAAAATAAACCTTACCGTGACATCGTGTTGTTGAAATCATTCTAAATAGAAAAACTACATATGATTTTCTTAAATCGATATTTAATATTGGAATTGTTCTTGCGATTCATCTAGATAAACCAGATCAGATTTGATTTGTCAAATAATAATTACCATTTTAGCCGTTGACGAGAATAATCAAAATAAAAAGAACAAGATTCATATATATGAAAGTAATATTTACCATCGAAGTTGTGAGCGAAATTGGTATAAATAAAATAATAAACTAAATCTTGTAAATTGATATTTGCCGTTGAAATTATAGTTATGATTGATCTGAAGAAATAAAATATAATCTTATGCCATTTTGTTAGCCTAAAATTTAAATTGTCTGGTATTTATTGCTTTATTTCTATTTTGTATTTGAAACAACTGGATATTTGAACAGCCAATTATTTGACTATATCTCTCATTTATAAAAAGATGTAATTTAGTACATATTTAAAATGCGTATGGACTTTGTTGAAGAAAATCACGAAAACCAAACTCTTTAGGGAATTTCCGTAGAGGTATTCCCTAGGGAGTCTTTATATTTTAGAGAGTCTCGGGGATTATTACGGTGACTTCCTAGGAAGTCACCAAGGATTTCGCATTTTTCAGAGGACTCTCTGAGTATCCTGTAGGAAAGAGTCGACTAGGGATGATTGAGAAATCAATTGCTATGTATCGCTAAAAATTCTTACAAACTATTTGATAGGACTTTATTCGGAATTTCTTAAAACTTTCATATGAATAAAAAAGTTTTTATTCTAGTAACAAATGATATAGATATATTTGAACAAGGTTATTTTAGATATTTTTAAATTCAAAAAAAAAAAATTTCTGATCGTAAAGGTTTAGAAAAAACTAAGGTATGAAAAAAAAAATATCAAGTGCAAAAATAAAACAAAAATCATTTAAATTGAAAAGAAACTAATTTTTTAATATCATGACTTTATTTTATTTTAAACTAAATTGATCTATTTTAAAATTAAAACAAAATTACATTTATCTAATCTAAATTACTTCTTAAATTGAAAAATCAGAATGCATATTCAAAATGAAACAAAATTATGACACAAAAAATATTTTTATTATTTTCAAATTATATTATTTTTAATTTATTTTATACGTCTAATCAATTTTAAAATTTTAAGTTCGCAGTTTTTGCCTGAAAATGAACAGCATACTCTGCTTTGCTCCTATTTTTTGTTACTTCGATATACTTTCCCATGGTAACATGCAAAAGTACAAA